GTCCACTGAAAAGGAGGACTATTTAAGTTGGATGGTCAAGAAAACCATTCTCAGGAAGAGACATAAGACAGAGAGAAGAACGAAAGAATGGAAGGGAGGGAGGGAGGGAGGGAAGGAGGGAGGGAGGGAGGGAAGGAAGGAAGGAATCATGTCTATAATCCTAGATATTCAGGAAGCTGAGATCTGAGGATCCTAGTTCTAAGTCAACCCAGGCAGTCAAATCCTAATCTTTACTCCACTTAACTAGCAAAAAGGTGGAACTGGAGCTGTGGCTCAAGTAGTAAAACACCAACATTGATCAAAAAAGCTAAGTGAGAGCATAAGCCCCAGAGTTCAAGCTCCAGCCCTGCCATGGGCGGGGCAGGGCGGGGTGTGGAATGGAGAGGAAAGAATCAGGCACTAGTAGCTCACACCTGCAATCCTAAACTACTTGGGAGGCTGCGATCCGAGGGTCTAGATTTGAAGCCAACCAAACAGGAAAGTCTATGAGGCTTAATCTCCAATTAACCATCAGAAAGCTAGAAGTGGAGCTGTGGCTCAAGGGACAAAGTGCCAGCCTTGAACAAAAAAGCTCAGGGATAATGCCCAGGCCCTGAGTTCAAGCTATTATACCTGCATGCACACACACACACACACACACACACACACACACACACACACGCAAAATAGATAGGGCTGCAAAGAAATTAGCAAAATAAACGGATACAATCATATCTAATTTTTTTCTCACAAACGAGGCTCTCCTTGTCTCTCTGTCTTTATCTGTCTATCTCTCTGTCTCTCTTTCTCCCCTTTACTCGCCTTTTTTTGTGCTGGTCTTGGCACTTGAACTCAGGTCCTGGGCACTGTCTGTGCATTTTTTGCTCAAGGCTACCACTTGAGCCACAGCTCCACTTCCAGCTTTTCTGGCAGTTTATTGAAGATAGTCTCACAGATTTTCCAGCCTGAGCTGGTTTTGAACCAGGCTATGGAGCAGCTAGATGACAGGCAAGACCACTGGTGGAATGAAGAAATTTCAAATAATAGGCTTTACACCTAGAACTGAACTACAGACATCAAGACTTTGCTTATTCTCCTCAGAAGTAGGCTTCCCCACTCTGTAGCAGGCGGGTGCTGGCTGGGCTGGTTGCTCCTAATGCTGCCTTTGGTTTCAGGCCTTCGGCATCATCAGGGGAACCAAAGTGGCCCTCCTCATCGATGAGTCCATGTTCAACAGCAGCCCTCGCAAAGAAGAATTCCAGAGTGACCTCATGGTGAGTCTCTGGCCCAGGAAGGACCTGGAACCACTCCAACCGCTCCTGGGCTGCTTTGCTTTGCTTTGCCTTCCCTTCCTTCCTTCCTTTCTTCCTTCCTTCCTTCCTTCCTTCCTTTTGTTCCTTTCTTTGTTTCTTTCCTTTCTTGCACCAGTCCTGGAGCTAGAATTCTGGGCCTGGGCACCATCCCTGAGCTTTTGTTTTTGCTCAAGTTTGGAGCTCTACCACTTGGGTCACAGCTCTACTTCCAGCTCTTTTGGTGGTTCATTGGATATAAGAGTCCCAGGAACTTTCCTGCTTGAGTAGCTAGGATTACAGGAGTGAGCCACCAGGCACCCAGCCTTAGGCTGCTTTGCTTGCAGCAGGTGTGAAATAGCTGATTTATGAAGGACATTCACACTTTATTAGAACCTATATTAATAGAAGTATGTGGAATTCTGGGGGAACCCTCCCCCAGGAGTGTGAACTTCTAACATTTACACCCCACAGTGTGAGGAGTAAGGCTGATTCCAGCCCCACCTGTGCAGCACAAGACTCCTGGCTTGTGTTCTCTGGCCAGAGTTGCTACTCTGGTATCTCTGTCAGATCTGGCACAGAAAAGCTCAGAATTCTAACCAGAAAACTGGAATCAAATCTCAGGTGCCAGTGGTTCATGCCTTGTAACCCTAGCTACTCAGAAGGCTGAGATCTGAGGATCACTGTTTGAAGCCAGCCCAGGCAGGGAAGTCCATGAGACTCTTATCTCCAATTACCACTGGAAAAAAAAAAAGGCAGAAGTGGAACTGTGGCTCCAGTGGTAGAGCATTAGCCTTGAACACAGTAGCTCAAGGATAGTGTCCAGGCCCTGAGTTCAAGTCCCAGGACTGGCACACACAATTCATCCATCTCTTACTCTCCTAATCTCTCTGGGCCTTTGTTAAATGGAGACAGAGACAACGGCTGCCTGGTGGGACTGTTATGAGTGTGGAAAGCGTTTGTGCAAATGGAGTGCTCACTGCTACATCTGGAAGAGTCTTGGGAGATGCCTACGGTTGGGGGATGGGGTCCACAGCAGCAATGTCTTCTTGTATTTTACAAAGGTCAGGTGCTTGTAGCTCACCCCTATAAGCCTAGCTATGCAGAAAGCTGCACTCCTATGATCCCAGTACAAAGCCAGCCCAGACAAATAAATTCCAGAGACTCTTATTGCAACTAACCAGCAGTGTGGCCCAAGTGGTAGAGCACCAGCCTCAAGCAAATAAAGAAAATTTAAGGGATAGTATGAGGTCCTAAGTTCAAGTCCCAGTCACACACACACATGCACACACACACACACACACACACACACACACACACACACACACACACACACAGGTCTGTTTGGTGCAAAGTGAGCCAGTTGTCCAGCCTTGTCCCTTGTCCCTGGTTCTGGGCTCATTTGGTTCCTAGGCTTCAGACATAGCACCTGCTGAGGTGGGTCATCAGGATGCCACCTTGAAACCCACTGGCTCAGAAGCAGATGTCAGCTTGGGCCAGCCACTAAGCTAAAGTACAAGGCTCCTATTTATATTATTATTAGTAGTATTAGTATTAGTATTATTTTGATCGTGGGGCTTTAAACACAGGACGTGGACACTGTCCCCGAACTTTCTTTTCTCTTTCTTTCTTTCTTTCTTTCTTTCTTTCTTTCTTTCTTTCTTTCTTTCTTTCTTTCTTTCTTTCTTTCTTTCTTTCTTTCTTTCTTTCTGTCAGTCGTGGGGCTTGAACTCTGGGCCTGGGCACTATCCCTCAGCTCTTCAGCTCAAGGCTAGTGCTCTACTACTTGAGCCACAGTGCCACTTCTGGCTTTTTCTGTTTATGTGGTGCTGGCTGAAGAATGGAATCCAGGCCTCATGCATGCGAGGCAAGCACTCTACCACCGAGCCACCTTCCCAGCCCCTGTCCCCGAGCTTTATAATCAAGGCTAGCACCCTGCCCCTTTGAGCCACAGCTCCACTTCTAGTTTTCAGATGGTTCATTGAAAATAAGAATCTCATGGACTTTCCAGCCAGGGCTAACTCTGACACACAATCCTCAGATCTCAGCCTCCTGAATAGTTAGGCTTATAGGCATGAGCCACTAGCACCTGGCTAGACCTCTATTTGAGCTCTATTTAGCTCACACCCAGCCCAGATAAGAGGCTACAATCAACTTCCCTGAGCCACTTCTGTCCTTCTGTCTGCAGAGGCTCATTGATGAGCAGCTGAGCTTCAAGGAGAAGCTTTATGCCCTGTCCTTCGGTGCCAGCACCAGGCCTCTCTGGCCACACCCTGTGAATGTCAGCGCCTCCAGGTGAGTGGCTGCACCTCTTCTGGGCACAGCACACTGATGATGCCAGTCCCAGTGGATAAAAGTGGACCAAGTGACAGCTCACAAAAGCAGACACAAGCAGCCAATGGCACAAAGACAAGTCACCCTACACAGTCCCCAGAATGAAAGACCACATAGCCACGAGTCCAAGACACACACACACACACACACACCAGTTCTGGGGCTTAAACTCAAGGCCTGGGCACTGTCCCTTGAGTTATGCTTAAGACTAGAGCTTTACTACTTGAACCATGCCTCTACATCTGGCTTTTGGGTGGTTAATTGAAGAAAAGCATCTTATGGACTTTACTGCTCAGGCTGGCTTCAAGCATTGATCCTCAGATCTCAACCTCCTAAGTAGCTAGGATTACAGGAGTGAGCCACTGGCACCCAGTTAAAGATAATTTTATTACTACAAAAAAAATAACACATGCATGTTTTCAAAGACTTAAAACGATATGAAGGATAATTAACATTGAATGAGTCTCTCTCACTGCTGTATTCCTACCTCCCAATAGTTGTTTCCTAAGCTAGATATGGTGGTGCATACCTATAATCCCAGCATGTGGGAAGGGTGAAGCACAAGAGTCAGAAGTTTGAGGAGGACAGTGCCTACATTTCTCATCTCTATCAGTGCAAAGAATCTACCTCACTTGTAATGATTGCATAGTATTCCACCACATAGATGTTCTTTAGCTGGAAGAATCTAGATTGTGGAGTTATTTTTTTTTTGAGAAGGGACAAAATGATGAGTAAGAATTTCACTTGGGCTGGGAATGTGGCTTAGTGGTAGAGTGCTTACCTAGCATGCATGAAGCCCTGGGTTCGATTCCTCAGTACCACATAAACAGAAGAAGCCAGATATGACTGTGTGGCTCAAGTGGTAGAGTCTAGCCTTGAGCAAAAGAAGGTCAGGGACAGTGCCTAGGCCCTGTGTTCAAGCTCCAGGACTGGCACACTAAAAGAAAGAAAAAAATTCACTTATTATGATCCATAAAATTTTTTCCTTCCTTCTTTCCCTCCCTCCCCTCCTACCTCCCTTCTTTCCATGCACCTCCTCTGACTTTTTTACTCACAGCTAGCTCTCTACCACTTGAACCATGCCTCCAGCCCATGTTTTGGCTGGCTAATTGGAGATGAAGTCCCTCCAGCTTTTTTCTTTTTTTTTTTTCATCATGGGTCTTGAACTCTGGGCCTGGGCGCTGTCCCCCAACTCTTCAGCTCAAGGCTAGCGCTCTACCACTTGAGCCACAGCACCACTTCTGGTTTCTGGTGGTTAATTGGAGATAAGAGTCTCACAGACTTTCCCTGCTCAAGCTGGCTTTTGAACCTCAATCTCTCAGATTTCAGCCTCCTATGTAGCTAGGATTAAGGTGTAAACCCAGCTTAGAATTTTGCTTTGAATAAGAGAGCATCCTTATCACTCACCAGGAGGTAGGTACCATACTCCCCACTTTACATGTCCAATCCTACTTAATCGAATAGCCATTGCAACAGGCCTAGTAATGCCACTTCATTGATGAAAAGCAACTCAGACTGGATTTCAAAGCTCAGAGCAGACCCCAGAAAAATCTAAGCAGAAACTAAGAAGGTTCTGATTTCAGTGTGTTTGACCTTAAAATCACCTTGAGATCATCTGGCTAAGGCCAGACTTTCTGGGCTTCCATGTCATTTCTCTGTGTTATATCTCTGCCACATTGCTATTATTTACCCTGTGTATTTATACTAGTACTACTTTTTCTCTATCACTATTTATTATGATTAAAGGAAATTTTCTATCATAACGGTAATTGAGAAGCCCTTAATCACTCACCATAATTAGGAAGTAGCCATAAAAATAAGTCTGGGGAGGCTGAGATCTGAGGATCAAGGTTTGAAGTCAGCCCAGGCAGGAAAGTCTGTGAGACTTTTATCTTCAATTCATGAGCAAAAACCTTGAAGTGGAGTTGTGGCTCAACTGGCACAACACTAGCTTTGAGTAAAAATGCTCAGGGACAATGCCCAGACCCTGAGTTAAAGCCCCAGGATCAGCACACACACAAAAATTAAACATACAGACATACATAAATGAAATTGAATGCAAGACAATGATGTTAAATTGAGCTTGAAACTTACTGGCTAGAGAATTCATCAGGCCTAGAATTGGTTTCTCTGTTCACAAGATTGACATGGATCACCCCTGTAATCTTAGCTACTCAGGAGGATGAGATCTAAGGATCAACATTTGAAGCCAGCAGGAAAGTCTGTGAGACTCTTAGCTCCAATTAACCAGCAAGAAGCAAGTAGTGGAGCCTGGGCTCAAGTGGTAGAGTGAAAAATCTTAGGGTCAGTGCCCAGGCCCTGAGTTCTCACAGATCCAGGCTGGCTTCAAACCATGATTATCAAATCACAGCCTCCTAAGTAGCTATGATTCCAGGCTTTTCTTGTTCATAATGGCCTTAGTAGAAATAACCTACAGCTCATGTGTATGATCCATACAGTCAAGGCATGGAGTGGGCTGCCTGATCTAGGCTTGTGGTGTCCATTCCATGAGGTTTGTACTATGAAAAAATTGTATAAGACATCTCTCAGACTGTGGTATGTGATGGTAACAAGGTTGCTAGGCTAGTCTCTTTCCAGCCTCCAGGAACTCAAGCTCTGGGTGGAGAATCTACAGCCTGAGGAAGGCAGCAATTTGCTACATGCCCTGAAAAAAATCTTCACTGTACAAGGGCTGAATTCTCTGGTGACCATAATAGGAAGCTGGTAGGTTTTATTTCTTCTCTCTTTTTTTTTCCGGTCATGGGACTTGAACTTGGGGCCTAGGCACTGTACCCTAGCATTTTTGCTCAAACTGAATACTCTACCACTTTCAGCCAAGCTCCACTTCTGGTTTTCTGGTGGTTAATTGGAAATAGGAGTCTCAGGAACTTTTCTGCCTGGCCTGACTTTGAACTGTGATCCTCAGATCTCAGCCTCCTGAGTAGCTAGGATTACAGGAGTGAGCCACTGGCACCCAGCAAGGTCTCATTTCTTACTTAGCAGGTTAACAGAAGGGGGAAGGAGAACCAAAGTTTTGTTTTATTTCATTTATTTACTTATTATTTTTGTGTCATTACTGAGGCTTGAATTCAGAGCCTGGACACTATCTCTGAACTTTTTCACTCAATGCTAGTGCTCTACCAGTTGAGTCACAGCTCCAGGCTTTTTGCTCCTGCGTTAGGAAGGAGCCCACACTGGCTTTGAACCGAGGTCCTCAGATATCAGCTTCCTGAGTAGCTAGGATTAGAGGCGTGAGCCACTGGTATCTGGCCACTTCCAGCTTTTTGGTGATTAATTGGAAATAAGACTCTCATGAAGTTTCCTACCTGAGCTGTATCACACCGTGATCTTTTTTTTTTAATTTTATTTTATTTTATTTGTGAACATACTGTACAGAGGGGTTACAATTGCATGGGCAGGATAATGCGTAC